AGCCCCGGCGGGCAGGACCCGCCCGCCGCCCCGCCGAGCGCCGGAGGAGTGCGCCCGCCCGCCGCCCGCGCCGCGCCAAACTTCGACGCCGACAAGTGCCTGGGGCCAGCCGCGGTCCCGCCGAGCCCCCCCGCGACCCGCCGGAAACTTTCTCGGGGGAGAGCATCTCCTTTTCCTCACGCCCTCCCCGCGGCCCTTCATGCCGCTACCGAGGGAGCCCCAGCGCGTCCCAGCGCCGCGGCCCGAGCCCGCAGGGTGAGTACAGCCCGCCCGCCGCTGCGGGGCGGGATGGGGCGCGGGGGCTGCGCGGCCCGGCGGGGCGGGGCGGGTGCCGGGGGCTGCGTGCGGGGGTCGCCCCGCCGGGCTCGGGCCACCGGCCGCGGGCGGATCGGCGCGGGCCGCGCGCCCCCTGCCGCCCGCGCGGAGCGGAGCGCGGCGGGGCCGGGCCGGGGCGGTACCTGCGCCGTGCCTCCTCCGCCGGAGCTCGGAACCGGAGCTCGGACCGGGCCGGGCCACGCCACGCCGAGCTTTGAAGGGTCGCGGGCGGTGGGAGAGCCCTGAGGGAGCCCGAGCCCTGAGGGAGGGGCGCGTCCCTCGCGCCGGCCCCCGCCCCGCAGCCCGGATCCACCCGCGGGCGCCGAGGGAGAGCGGCGGGGCCGCTGGGCAGCGGCGGGAGCGGCGGCGCAGGGCATCACCCCGCCGGCGAGGAGCAGCGGGCAGGTCACGGGTACCCAGCCTGGAAACATTTCCTCCCTCCCATCGGAAATTGCAGGCGGCTTTTCTAAACGTTCACACGCACACTGAGCCCCCAAAGAAAACCCCTCATGGCGGTGAGCAGCGCAGATCAGCTAAACGCGATAAAACAGATGCTTTTCTACTCTCAAAGTTGGTGCATGTGCGGTTTTGGCCTCTGATTGATATACTTTTATTGTTCTGCAATCAACTTTTCAATATTCCGGATCTGATGTGGTAGGAGCCAGCATTACTTCTACAGAAATGTTAGCAGAGACAGTGAGTGGAACAAGCGGTGGAGATGCTTTTAAAGAGGGAATAAGTCACTGTCTTGCCTAAGGACAATGCGGTTGAGGATGAGAAGCTGTGGCCTGGGAAGCCCGTCAAAGGGAAGAAAACCACAGCAGAACTTCCCCTGGCTTGTTTTTTGTTGTGGTGGTGGTGGTGGTGGTGGTTTGTTTTGTTTTTTCATTTTGTGGTTTTCATGTGGAAAAAATAAAGGTTGAATTCTGGTATATTTCTGAACCTTAAAAGGATGATTACCAGAGAGTTTCAAGCAGTTAGTGACAATGCTCTCGTAGAGTTATGAACTTTGTCTCAACCCTCTGATGCTGATTAGCAGCACCAACTTTCTAGTTATTTATGTAAAATACAGCAGTAGCACAGAACAAATTCAGCATCCGGTAGGCATTCATTTTTGAAGCTAAGTACTTTCAGTTAGGAAGTCATCAGCTCACACTGTAACTTGAAAGCTTTGTAGCCCTATAACCTGGATGCACTGTGTGATGAGCATGCATCACCTTATTAAGCGTGAGGAATCACAGGAAAAAAAAACAAAAACAAAGCTTGTAACTGTCCCAAATGCTAACTTAAATTCCCTGGGGAAAATCTTGCAGAACAGATTGGTGCTAGGTACAGAAATACTTAAGGCAATAAGCTACAATTATAAAGATGCGAGAGGAAAAAAAAGGAGCTATATGTACTAAGGCTCTGAAATTTAAATAGCTGAAATGCTTTTTACACCATATTCTGACAGCTGACGATACCTGGCAAGTAATGGCAGTGGTAGTATGATGTGTCAGTCAGCAAAGAATAATGTGTGAAAACCAAAAGTATTTCAAGTATAGTGCCAAATCACAGGTTTTTGGTAGCTGTATTTTATTTTCTTTAGCCAATAGGTATTGACATTTTAAATTTCTCCTGAGGCAAAGAAATCTTTTTCTGCTAAATAGTTAAATAAGCTGGATAAGAATAGAACCTAAACTTTGATTGGAACAGCATTTGAGGCCAAAGACACCAAAGCAGTTGCTTGAGTATACTCTATTTCATACAAGTATTGACAGAAATAATGTGCATTAAATCGTTAAGTACAGGTTCCCTTCTTCTTTGAATATATAAATAATTTTGCCTTTATGAAAGGGGTTGGTTTGTATATGTACAAGGTTCTCAAGTTGCCTAGGTGTAGCATGGTATAAAACACGAGGTTAATAAATGTTAGTTGCATGAGGGTTAGTTCTGTTTTCTAATGCACATTATTTCCTATGTTCTTAACTGGCTTTAAATAATTAACAACTGGAGTGGACGCAAAGGAGCTTTTTACTTGGGCTTGATTGGATACATTCATCTGCTTAAGCTGTTCGGGATACAAACTTGAAACATGTTTCCTTTGGAAAAATCTGTTCTGCAGCTGCCGCTATTGGGAGGTGACAGCCGGCGCTCCTTGCCTTGCTTCGTTCTTTCAGCCACTTCTCCTGTGGCAATATAGTATCTGGTGTTGGCTCTCATCCTGCGTGTGTGTGGGGGGGTACGCTCCATCTAATGCGTGGTCAGTGTGAGACGTGGTCACTCTTTATTTTATTACCTCCTTCACCTTCCTGTGGCTTGCCAAAGAGAGAGGCCCAAGAGCCCACCCCTGTGGATCTCACAGTGATTTCCCAGCAGGGAGGTCACGCAAGGCATCCAGCCGGCTGTGTTTTGTGAGGAGGCAGTTATTTGGGGAAGGGGATGGATTTTCACAGGGATGGAAGGAGGCAAAGGACAACTAACAACCCCTAATTAGACCTGAAGTTCTTCCCTGGCACTGATTGTGCCAAGATGCGTTTTGTCTGTTCTGTAAAGGGGATGTCTCCTCCATCTGCAGAATTAACACTCTGTGTGAGGTGTGACTTCCCCACCTGGAAAGGGATGCATGTGCTCAGAGCCTCCTCCCAGCTGATTTCAGTCTGGGGGTCAGCTGCATGCCATTCTCAAATGGCTGTGACATACTCACTTGTGGCCGGAACGACGGGCGCTTCGGGGACGGAGCAGCGCTCCGAGGGGAAGGCAGAGAGCAGATGTGGCCTTTGCACAGGTGCCTCCCAAGTGCCTCCGAGTGTTTTCTGTAGTGCAGAGGCTGTGACACATGGGAACATTCACGGCCCCAGCTCTGTTGCCCCACACAGAAGATGCCGGGAGCGGTGTGCTCTGGAAGCTTTGCACACATTAGCTGAAGTCCTACCAGCAATTTGCTGGTTCCAACACCCTCAGCCAGCAAGGATGCTGATCCCTCTTTGCCACCTCCATGGCCCCCAACGCCCAAGGTGTGCGACTAGCAGGGCAGTGCAGGGCGGAGGGAATCAGGGCATCAGACAGTAGTTTCTCCTTGTTTGTTTGATTCCCTTTTTCTGAGGTCAAATGCACTTTGACAGGCATTACTGGGAACAAAAACTCCATTGCTGTGTGTTGCCCATTACTAGAGGCTTGTCACCACACATCTGGTACAGCTGTAAACTTCATAAATGTTACTCTCAATGTTTGGGGTTTTTTTACAAAATAATTCAAATAGGTATGTCTTTAGCAATAGGGTGCTGAAATGTAAAATACATATCATGAGTGATTCTGCAGGAACAAACATAAGCGAGACAAATCGTATAGCTCTGTCAGAAAAAATCCTAGCAGCGCTCAGCACATGATCCTTAATGTGCTTTGGTCAATATCTTTCTCTATATCAATGGAAGCTCATTAAAAGAAGATATTGCAGACTAACTGAGCTGTGCCATACTAGTTCTTGCCAAAGCTTGACATTTTTAATACATTAATAATATGTCTGTAATGTAATGGAAAACTATTAATCAGAAGTGGTTATATGCCAGAAATTTAAGCTATAATTGGCTGCTTCTTGTCAGGAGTGTCTGTCGTACACAGCTACAGCTGCCTAGTTCTCAGATGTCTTGCACTCCTCTGCACTTTTTTCTTGTCAGTGCACTAAATTCAATCAATGTTATAGTCTATAATTCTGTGTAACGACCATCATTATGACTGGCTTACTTTAATGAGAATTCGTTATATGGGAAGTATTTTAGCACAGTGTGTTAAGGTAGTGGTTTGTTTCACAGTATTTAGTGCTAGCCAGTCCTGTTGATTAGTGGATCTGAGCCTCAGCAGTTATAAAAGGTTACGGGTAACTGAAGAACTAGAAAGGAAGATATTAAAGCAAACATGCTTTTTTTTTTGGCAGAATATAAAAGCTTGCAGTCTAAAGATAATTAAACTCAGTAACTTCTTATTTCTACACAGAAAAATTCTATTTATTTCTGTTTATTCCAGCTATGACAAACCCATCTCCAGTAAAGGGTATTTGGTTTGCCATAAATTTAAAATAATTTGGGGCCTTTTCTAGCAAGGAGTTGTTTCCCATTTTCTCAGTGACTGTTCTAAGCTATGGGGTCTTGTGGCTGCGTTTTTTTCCCCTTCAAAATAGTAAATACATTGGAAAGGAAACGGAGGGGAAGAAGTGTCTTTAGAATGACATGGAAAGTGTTCTCTGAATTACCAGATTCCAAAATAATATGCAAACACTCCCACTGAAAACAAAAAAAAGAATGTAAGGTTGCTACAAAACCAACAGTACTACCCAGCATGCTTCTTAAAGAGACTTAAATTTAATTTGGTCTTAGATATTTCCGCTTTTGTGTCAAATTCAGATTTGAAGCTTAAATATGTTTGAACGAATTGAGAATTGTTACCGCAGGAAAATTCAGATATTCTCTGCATATTCTGATAAAATACATGAGAGTTGTATGGTAACACTTGATAAAATGAATATAATGGAAAATTGCATTTACGTCCATACAGCAATTATTGTAAATTACTTTGCTATGGAAACACAATTCAACCATCTGTTGGCATTTCATGGTGTCTGTAGTTTAGCTCAGTTTAAGATGAAGCATTATTTAAATATAGGGAGGCTGTTTGCGAATAGCTTTGGAGATAAGTTTTGAAAATGCATATTCCCAATGTGCAGTTCAGGAGCTCACCAGGTCACACACCTCTTCCCGTGGCTGCGAGGTGTAGGAGGGATCACGACACTGGGCATGATTTAAAGCTGGGCAGCAAAGCAGGCTGCAGAAGGCAGCGACTTAGGGTTGTTTCACAACATCTGTCCGACGGGTCTGCCTAGATTTTAGCATCCAGACAAAGAAGGTGTGGAAGTGCTGTGAAGGCCGGCTGAAATCTCCTCCTGCCGACAGCCCAGTGCTCTGCCTCCCCAGCCTCAGGTGGCACAGGCTGACACAAATGCACTGGAATTCCTAGCCCTGGTTTTCCTTGTCCCTCTTTAGGGTACTTACTCTGTCTTTGCAGTTTTCCTCATAGATACATTGAATTTTTACCTGTGTTTTTTAGGAAATATATATTCAGTATTGCTGTAGTAACATTCTAGCATTTTATACCTGTAATTATGTGATTCAGGTGCTACAAAGGGAGGGAATTTCTAGTTGCTTACTGAAGAGGGGAAAAGGCATGTATCTGCTGTGAAATAAATGCTGAGTACTCAGGTACAGCCACCCTCAAACCTAAGAAAATGAAAGGGAGAAAGCACCCTTATGATAAGCTACTAAATAAATCATTATCTTTATCATTACTTTGTCATCCATATGGTCAGTAAATCACAGTTCAAAGAAAAAAAAATAGGGAACAAAGCTCTTGCAATGCTAATGAAAAATGTCGAGGAAATTGAATTGTACTTGCCTTATCTTTGTTATTCTTTAGATAATAATAATAATAATAATAATAATAATAATAATAATAATAATAATAATAATAATAATAATAATAATAATAATAATAATAATAATAATAATATAAAATAAATATTTGAGGCTTTTGGGGCTCCATGAGGTCCTCTTGCCAAGAAACTACCAGCACCTGCTAGCCCTGATGCCCGTCTCTGTGTTGCTTTAATAAAAGAACCTTCGTGCTGCTGCCCCGCAGTGCTGGGCTGCCTGCTTCCCTGCCTGCCTGCACCATCTGGGCCGTGGCTGACTTCAGTAGCTTGCTCTCCAGTTTTGCTAGGGTGAAAATAACAGTTTCAGAAGAAGGAACCTCTAACTCACCTGGAACATTATAAATTTGTCTTTGTTAGAGTACAGTTAAATCCTTCATGTCAAAATACTTTTCTCTGTGAATGATTTTGGTAGTTTCTTCATTCTAGCACAGAACCTGTAGTAAAGGTTATCCATATTGTACCAATTAGCTTTATATTGCATCAAACCTCCAAAATGTCAACATATCATGTATTTTGTAATGCATTGATTCTTGGACAATAACTCTAATTTTTATTGTTTCTAAAAGGGTGCTGGTGCCAGAAGAAAAGGATGATTGATGGGAAAGAGACACCAGCCTATAGACACTCACCCTCTTCCTTCGGATACTGATTTATCAGTGTGTCCAGGCATCCCCTGCGAGCCCTGAACACAGAGGATCACTCAGGGTTATCGACAGTGTAGCTGAAGACCTGCAACTTCACAAATTATTATCTGCTGTCGGACATCTTTTACAAGAAGCCCTGACAGATAAGTTATAAGATGAAGGACAAGCTCTGCATGGCTGTGAAAGGCTGTCATCAGGGCCTGGGTGGCTTCTACCAAAGTCTTTAACACAGTGAAACAAACATCCTATCCTAATGCTTCACGTTTGAGTTGGAACCTATTTTATAAATCTATACATGTATATGTACATATAATCTCTAGACTGCACATACGCCAGCACTGAGCATCCTTACGAAGCTGACATAAAAGGATTTAGAAATGTATTTGTCAAGATTCCTGTCACTTCACGCCCTCTGGGTTACTGTATCCTCCGTGATGCAGCACTACCCTTCTGTGTGGGGACACTATGACGTGTGTAAGACTCAGATTTACACAGAAGAAGGAAAAGTATGGGATTACATGGCCTGCCAGCCAGAGGCAAGAGACATGATCAAATATGTAAAAGTGACTCTGGATCCCCCAGACATAACATGTGGAGATCCTCCTGAGACTTTCTGTGCAATGGTAAGGCAAGCTTCTCATTTTGCATAATTAGTGGGGATGTATTTGTGATAGATGGCTTCAAAATAGAAGCTCTAGAGTGCACACAAACCCTCATCATATTCCAAATATGAAAAGTTCTGCTGTACATAACTCTGAGCAGTACATTTAGCTGAGCAATGAAATGTTCTGCTTATGAGGACCTAAGTTGACTTTATCTGAATTCAGTGTCTCTCTACAGCAACTTTTTAATGTATCAAAAGAAACCAGCATAAAACTCCAATTGTGCTAACACATAACTGGGGTGGCCTTTGCCTGATCAAGAAAGACTTGAATTTACCAATTCCACTAAAATCAGTTTAAAGCATCATAGCATGGCATCATTTCTAGACAGTGAGACCAATTGAACTCAATTTGCTAATTTGAACTCAAATTGCTAAAGCTTAAAAAATGGTGGTGGGAGTTGGGCTGTTGAAATTTTCCCAGCTACCCAAGGAGCTGCAGCAGGTGTGTATGGACAGTGCAGCTAAAAACACCTCTACGCTCTAGCAACTACTCACAGCTTTCTTCCTAGCTGAAACTGTAGGCATTCAAGCAAACTAAGAGAGACCAAAGATCCTTATTTTACATGGTCCTAAAATAGACTGGGTTTGGAAATATTTGGCTTGGTAAATAAATGCACAGGTATAAGAAACCAGGCAGACACTATATATGTATGTATGTCAATCATTTACAGCTGTGCTGCTCCCAAGTGTTTGAAAGATCCCACTGTGAGAGGTTGTTTCAGTTAAAGGAGATCTTTAACTTGTAGATCATTTCTTTGTCCTCACACTCACAGAGGATTTCTTTGCCATTGAATATTTCTGTTAAGTAGTGAGTGGAAGCTACTGAGTTCCTTCACTGGAAAATATGAGTTTGGGGTACAAAACATGCACACTTACATGTGTTAATACAGCACTGGAAACAGGCACTACATTACCTACATTATTTAGGTTTGAAAAACCAGTGAGTTCTGGTGAGGTTATCACAACTGAGAAAGGTCTACAACATATTTATTTGCCTGTGTACAAATCATCATTGCTGAGTGACAGCATCCCCACAGGAAGGAAATTTGCTTTTAAATGCCTTGTGGCATCATTTTCCACCGCTGCTATTCTGTAAGGAGTTCAGATCCAACCACACATACATTTAAGGCATTATTTGCACGCATGCAGCTGCTTCCCACGTACATTATGGTAATAGCCACGTGATAAATTGCCAAGCTACATGAATAAATTACATTCACTATGAACCTTTGACTGCACCACTTGCTCTCTGCCCACTAATCCATCTCTGCTGACATGTCTTTGACACTCTAAACCTCCAAGCAGCTTCAAGCGGCCACTGTTTAAAAACAAATGAAAGTTGTGTGCCCCACATAATATTGTCTTACTGTTTATTACTTTATTCTTGAAATACACTTTTTCCATCTGAATAGTAATTGCTGCAATTTAGCACTCAGTAATATTTAGTAACTCATCATGTAATGTAAAAAGTTATTCTTTTAATGATAAAAAACAAACCTGCCCAGTAAAACTTTTCTTCCTTTTAGTGCAGATAAACATTGCAGCAGTTGCTATCATAATTCTCTAACTTTCTGAAGGTCTTTGATATCAATATGCACTCTAGTTAGAACAATAATTTTGAACGAAAAACAACCAGGCAAAAAAAAGACGTTTTGATTGAATCTAAGTGTTAAAAAGGGTGCCAGAACGCCCCTTGAAGACATTTGATCACACCAGGTCATCAGTGCTGTGATGTGGGATGAAAGTTTGCTGGGGAGTGACCTAAGATTACAGCTGTAGCTCACTTGCAGCTTGAGCCTGTGAGATGCAGAAGGCTACCAGAATCCTCACATGAGAAGCAGAAAAAGGGGAGTAACTGTGGGAGAGAGAGCACGCAGAATGAGAGTGTGCATTTAGCTACACAAGTGTAGGGTGACTGACTCTTCTTACATGATAAACTGTGGGCTTTGTTTCCAGGATAGGTGTAGATTGTACATATACACTATATTTAGATATGCATTGGTAATGGCTTGGCTTGCTGGAAACTTAAGGAAAATGACAGAAATATTTAATGTTCCTAAGGTACTGCCCAGCAGAGCATTCTAATTCCTAAAAATGCTTCATGTCTATCTGTACTATAGCTACCTATAGGAATTAGATATTTCCTTCAAAATGAGGTTTTATATATTTTGTAGGGCTGAGCCCTTGGAGTTTTTGAGAACTTTTATTTTTGCGTTCACTTTTAGTTTTAGAAAATGAGTTAAGAAGCACTGACATACTTGGGGAAAGTGGGCAGTGGGAAAAAGAGTTCTTTCATGTTAGACATGTTCTTGTGCTAAAAAATCCTAAATTTGAAGTGACAAAGATGCAAAGGTTTCTTTTCAGCATGGTGAAGTGCCAAACTGGCTTATACAAATGCTTGGTTTTCTTGTTGTTAAGTACTGGCTATGTGCCTGCTAAACCTGTACCACTGTTTTGTTATTGAAATCGGGTTATCACGGACTTGGAGAAGAACAGGGTCTTTTCAGCTATTCTAATAATAAGCAAGGGTACCAAGCAGCCAAGTCTGCTTCTGCAGGATGAGAAGGGGGTTGAAGCAGCCTCCTGTTTCATTTGCATGTCGGTTCCCTGGTCAGGTTTACTAATTTTCTGTTCACTTAAATGGACTAAGGTGCTAGCTGTTGAGTCTCTGTCAGCCTTTGGTGTAATACAGATTAGATCCTTGAAACAAACCAGGCTGAGAATTTCATTCAAGTCGTGCTGGGAGATTATGATAGAATCTAAGGCAGTCTGTGAGAATAGCTGATAATAATCTGCAATAACACACACAAGGCAGCCGTGCATTGCAATGTGGGCAAGCATACAGTACAGAGGAAATGGGTGGTTAAATTGCCCCCCTACTTACTCCTGCATATTCCCGACGGTATTAAATGTTCTTATGAGTCCGTGATGAATTTGTACTTAGTGAGCTTGTTTAGTTGACAGACTGAATAACAGGGCTTTGCATATGTAAATTTGTTGCAAAATATAACAGCCCTAGTTGGCAGCTAAAGCCAGCATTTGGCAGCTCACCACTTGCAGGTACCTTTGTAGCATCCCCCCAGAACAGCATTTGTAGGTATTATGGGGAGCATGCAACAGAAAAACTATCCCACAGTTGCTTTTAGGCATCTATTCTGAGAATAACATTACAGTTTCTGGTGACATTCAATATTGACAACTCATGAGATTATCCTGAAACCTCAAACCCCTGGAGTCCTACAATTATGATTATATGAGGTTCTCAGCTTTCATTTAAAACATCATCTTTATTTCCTTAGTCCTTCTGGTTGCAGGGAAAAGTTTGCAAATGAAACTGAGGAGCTCAAAAAAGCAGAAGCCAAATAAATAGCCTTCCAAATTATTATTTGTTTAAAATCTCATCAGATTTAAAGTCATTCAGGATTTCTACAGCTTGAAAAGGACTTTTGCTCAAGAGGAGAGATGCATAAAAGAAACTTATAAAGAAATAAGTGGCTAAGAGCAGTGAACACTTAAAATTTCTAGATGTGGAGTTGATACCTGTAAGGAGGATGTGACAACATTGTTCCAGAATAAACAGTGCTTCTCCTGCCTACGGGATAACCAGCACTGTGGGGAAGGGTTCACTGGTCACCTCTGGCTTCCCTGTCTGTTTTAAAGCAATCTCTGGTGTCTCAGAGTGAGGTACATATGCTGGCAGAAGGGGCATGACTGCTTTCTGTGGTATTCCTTCGAGGAAATTTGGACATCTTTTGTCACACACTTGGACTGAACAGCCGCAGTGTTTGAGCCAGCGTGACCCCTTCCTGCAGGTCTGTAATTTATGAACTTTGAGCATTTGGCATGGCTGAGTGTGTCTGGCACAATATGCTTGTGCATAGTTGGACTGGGAGGAGAGAGGAGAGAGGGAAAGAGGAAGAAGCTATTCACATTCTCAGGTTTGAACTGCAGGTTTCACTGCACAGAGACACTAAGCAAATTTTGAGGTACCTGATGGTGCTGGTTCTTGTGGCCTGCAGCATTTCAGTGCAAACAAATCTGCTTGAAGTCCCTGGGAGTAACAAACAGTCGGTGAAATCTACTTCCCTCTTTGTAAAAACAATTCCACAATGCTCTGTCCAGTCATAAAGAGAAACAAATCTGACTTCTCATGAGCGTCACCGTCTTTTGCTCTACCAGAACAGTGTGTAGGTGGCTTCTGGCTTTCCTTCTAAAACATGTGCCAGCTCTATCCCTGGAACAAGTGTCAGGAGCCTGGTGATGATGCTCACAGCTCGGGACCCCTGAGCCTGCACATGGACTGGCCCCTCTGCTGAAATCCAGCCTTTAGCTTGGGGGTTTGCATTCAGACCTGAGCCGGGATTACTATGCAAATTCACCATGAATTTGACCAGGAGACTCCTAGTGGCTATTGCTGTAATTTGCAAACTAGAGACAGATTTATGTTACCAACCTGTGTTTGCAGCTCAAATAGCAACGTGAAAATATAATTTTCTGTTTGTGTTTAGATCTAGATATCATAATACCATCCCAACGGCTAAAAAATGATGAAATTATCATCAATTATAGTTGCTACAGCTTATTTCCTTTGTAGGTTAAATAGAAGCTTGAAAAGGAGCCTGCAGATGGGAGTCCTGTGCATTTGTACAATTTATAGAGCAGAAATGCTGATGACAGTAGAAATTTGAACCCTTGAGTGCTACTCCGTATTTCATAGCCAATCAAACCTAAATTAAGAAACAAAGATTATTAAAAAGTATTCTGCACATGTAATTCTGGCATAATATTATGAGGTAGACATTAAATTTTTCCCTCTGAGACTTTCAGCATCATTAATACAGCATTCCTTTAATTACAAGTAGGCTCACAGTCCTTAAAAAGAGGGAAATACTGTGTAATACAGATAGTGATACCAGTGATATGTTTACTGAAATAATTAAATGAACAGATACTTTTCTG